AGTGAACCAGGCAAGTTTTAAACAACCTCCCTGAGAAGCTGAACTCATTTGAACTCATTTACATTCATTACAGGTGTGCTTCAGATTTTAATCTTCAAATAAACAGGTGGATAATCTGGCTAAACTGTTTACAAGACAACTGTTGATCACAGAATTGTATTATAGAATGGAACACGTTTCTCGTTTCTATTGAGGGACACATACAAGGGGTTTGTTCTCTTCTGTTATTCCCAGCTCAAATCTAAGGTGGTTTCCTCCAACAAAGCCTGACATAAAACATAAAACAATTAAACATCAAGGTCGGTGGGAAAAGAAATTATTGATGCAGAAAATTGATTTTTGTCATGAAATGAATTGAAACAAGTCGCTTTGCAGGATGTCTCAAGCGGTGATTATAAACAGGCTCATGCTGCTTTATGTGTTTGTGTACACAAGTGTGTGGCTTTATGTGTGCATGACTCATTTAGTTTGTGTAATTATATGAATGTCTGAAAACCTACCTGATCATCTGATCAGCCATAACATTATGACTGATTTGGTTCCCTGGAATTTTTGTTCAAAACGGTGATGATTCATGTGATGTGGTACTTAGCTTGCCTTTGGATTATTTTAGTGCATGGTTTTGTACTTGTGACCCATTTCCTCCTGGTTGGGCTGCAGTGCTGGATTACTGTGAACTGATTTTGGGGCACCATTATACTGTAAGTAGGGATTTAATTCGTTTAATGTGTGCATTTGTTATGAGGAACTGTTCTATAACTAGTGGGCAGTCCTTTAAATATCGTATGTGTACTAATGACGGTGACAACATGTTGAAATCCGTTGCTAGGCGGAAGTGCTTTGTGTTGCTCTTATTATTATTCTGTGCCTATTTCTGAGGTTCATAGTGCATTAAGTAATTTGGATACTAGAAAAGCAGCTTGGCCTGATGGACCGGATCCTTTTTTCTTAAAATTGGCTGCAGACTATATAGCTGAACCACTGTCTTATGTTTTTAACTTAAGTCTTAGTAGTAACGAAATTCCATTGATTTGGAAATCAGCTTTTGTTCTTCCCCTTTTAAAGGAAGGTGATCCGTCGGAAGTTAATAATTATAGGCCAATTTCTAAACTGTGTGTTTTAGCGAAAATCCTAGAAAAAATAGTTACAGGCATTGGATTGTAAAAAACATTGTGTAGCTTTATTTATTGACCTCTCTAAGGCTTTTGATACTGTTGATCATGT